CTTAAAGGAAAATGTTTTGCTGACGTGAATGTGGAAGAGATGAAACAAAAAATGGCAAAAGCACTAAAATATATCAAAATTAACAGGTTCAAAAACCAATTTGAGCAGTGAAAAAAGCATCTCAATTGGTGTTTTGCATAAAATAAAAAGTACTTTGAAGGTGACTGAAGTTTAAACATGTCAGAATAAATACACAATTTTTTGGTAAGTAAATTCAGGGTTTTTTGGGGTCCCTCCTCATATTTTCAATTTATGATGGTTTTTTCGGGACCCCAGAGTAAACCAAGGGTCATCTATATTTATTAGCTTATTTTCTGTCTGAATGTACCCTAAATAACTTAATTTCTTTGATTCAATTTTCCATTATTCCATTTTAGTTTTAGTATTTTTTTCAGAACCACTAATGAGCCAAGCAAATGTTGTAGAACCCAACATTTTAATGTCCTGCTGTCCTGAAATCTGTTTCATTGGCTTACTTAGAAGACTTTCATTTTGCAGATGGCTTCTTAGTTAAATTATGTCCAATCAAAGGCACAATTGGCAATTGTTTTGCTAAATTGGCAAATGTAAGTTGTGACTGAGTTCTTAATCATTGCTGTCAAGGTTTAAAAAATTGTTAAGAATATTTTAGATGTGGAAAGGTCAACATGCTTGGTTATGTGAACATTTCATGATCTCATCCTCCTGTTGCTCTTGTCTGAGCAGTTTACTGTAACACATGTTCCTGATAGAGCAGGAACAGAGTTGGCATAATTGCTAATACACTACCTTCTTATATATAAATCATAATGTCCTGTTAGTCATAGCCTCTAATATGTGCCCAAGTTTTTACAACTCTCCCAAAGTAACTATAGGAATCCCAAGCATCACTTGACCTCTATGCTTCTTAAACTATAACTTTTGAATTTTTTATTTTTCTAGTTAAAAGAGAGTACTCCTCCTGAAAACAGCCAGGAACAAGCATGGCTTTTCTCTTAATAATCTTGAGCAATGCATACACTCACCTGCTTTTTGATTCATGCCCTCAGGAAAGGGGCCTGTTGCTTTGAGAATCCTTGGAGTCAATCAGACAGCAAACTCATAAAGCATTTTATAAATGTATTATAAAATAGTGACCTACAGGTACTTAATGGTTTAAAGTTTACAAAGCTCTGTACAGATCTTTTTATCTTCACAGCTACTCTTTTTATAGGTGTGGAAATAAAGACTCAGAGGTGAATTACTTGCTCTAGTCACACAGACATTACACCGAGTAGTGGGATCATGCTAGCTTTTACCCCATTCTTCTGACTTTAAATAGGAAGACCATGTATGTAATTATATAACCAAGGTAGGTAAGGTTTAATATTAACAAAGATTTTGTTCTGATTAATGTTATATAGATGTTTTATAACATTTGCTTTGGAGAGTAATAAACAAAAGAATATTAACAGCATTTGCATCTCATGAAAAATTAGACCTTATTCTCTGCCCGGAAGTGGTCCTTAGGAGTCCTATTTTCCTGGCAAAAACACCTGCTTTATTAGAGTCCAAAAGAAGCTTCATTCCCAATGTTATTTGAGATTTGGATGTCTAACCAATTGTATCTTTATTTTTATTACAAGATAGAAATGAGAAGAACACTAGAATTTCTTTAATACCTATAGCTTTATATTCTATAGCCTACAACAGATTAGTTTAGGTAAATTTTTATTAAATGCCATCTTTCTAGTGGGAGAAAATGATAGATCAATACCTTCCCTCAAAGTAGAAGTTTGTAAGAAAGATTGTGTTAAATTTGTATATCTATGTTATACAAAAGAAATAAAATTTCATAATTTGACTTTTTAAATTCTAGTTAGACGCACATATACACAAATAAATTTTAAATTAAATCCTGGATATTTTATGGATAACTTCATGAAGAATCTGCTGAGCAGTATTCTTATGTTTTGGAATAGGTGATGATGCAAAAAAAAAAAAAAGCTACTTTTCTTGATATGCATTTATGCTTCTCAAGGAAAAGAGCTGGCACTTTTCTGTCTTATACCAGGACTATGTGATAAAGCTTTAAAAGCAGTAAATTTGTAAGTCACCAACGATGGGGGAGAAACATTGAGAGAGAAGCAAATTAGTCTCTTACTTTCTGTCCATGGAGAAGTATATCATGTATATAAATAAAGTTGCTCACTTTTATTTTCATCTGGTATAATATCATTTCATTTTTCAGTGAAATCTCACATATGTAAATACTAAATTATTTTTTCTTAACTTTAAACTGCTTTGTTTATTGAATTACTTTGATAGAAAATTTAAATATTGCATTTCACATTCCTTTGCCTTTTTGATTTGAAGATAGTGAAAACAAATGCTCTTTTGATAATTCAGAACAATCATTTTTATACACATGAACTATTCTGAGGATTTTTTACTGCCTTCATTCTGGTCTCTTCAGGTATGTTAACATTATTTGTAAGAAAAAGAATGACATGATGTTAAGTGAGGACCAACATGAACTGATACATGAATAAACTTTCATAAGTGGATGTTGTGACATTTATATTAATTTTTAAAAGATTTTGTTCGCATTCAGGTTTTTGATAATGCTGAGATTTTAAGTGACTAGATAAATACCTCCAGATGAGCAAATTATTACTGCATATCTATTACTTTCCTCAATCTATTGGACTCTGCCAAAGCATAACCTAATGAGCTTTATTTACTCTGAGAGATCAGCAGTTTTAGTCTTCAAATCAGCAGGAATATCTCTACAGTCACAAATAGAGAGATCTGCTGTGGTTCTCACTTCTGAACAATGCTTTCTAGTGGTAATGGTTTCTAAATTATTTGGGACTATAAAAGAAAATTCAGTCAGCTCTATGCAAGCCTATCCAAAAGCTGTGGTCCCCACTAAGTGGGTCTCAACCCTAAGTGCCCCACCTCTCTTCCTGCTGACTTTCATAGCTTATTGGCTCCTGTACGAGTAACAAAAATGTCAAGCATCAGTCTGATTCATGTGGTTCATTGAATGAGTTCAGAGCATCTACCTGAAAATGATACAATTTCGTAGTCATCATTAATGGGGCTAGTTAGAATTGCAACCCGGCAACTCTGACTCTCTTTCTCTTAGAGTATTATCTAATCAATTTCTTAAATTCCAAAACATGGATCTCTTCTCATGTGTTCTTGGAGATAATGATACCCCATCCAATTCAGCCTTTAAATCAACACATATATTGAGCAAACTTAATGAACTGTGGAAGGTATATAAGAAAGAAATATTGCAGAAATTTTTATAAATTTGTTTTTGTAGTCATAAAAATGTTTTTTATGCAAAATAAAAGCAAAGTATATATCATTCTACTTGTGAAGTCTTTCCTCCATGATATTTTTTCTCATTTTGGAGAAAACTGGAATTCAAAGCCATACCAATGTCCAGACACTATACACCTCTCTCTTGAGTATCATAAAACAAAGGAATATTTTATACTATTCAAATAACCCAATGAAAAATTGTCAAACTTGATTCTGAAGCAGTATATAGTGTTTCAGTTGAAAGCAAGAAACCCTGAATACTCTGCTTGAGCTGTAGGAGAAACTAACTCAGTAAACAAGAAATTCTTCATTTCTGATCTAACAGCTTTGAGAGAAAAAGGTCAGTGAGATTTGGTCATGAATGATGGTTAGCAAGGCAGGACCAGGGAGAGAAGCACTGATTTGTTGATTGTTCAGGTATCACATCTGAAAGTCAACCCTACTTCTTTGCTATTTCTGGACCAAGAAAGGTCTAAACTATAGTGTAAGAATAGCCTTTGGCATCACATTTCTGTCAACTACATCCACATCGAATATAAGAACGTCATGACCCACTCCCGTTCTCCATTCCAAGAACAGTGAGATAATGAGGGTCTGAATTGAATAGAGCCGCTACTATAATTTGTTTTTGTATTGACTGTCTCTTCATAGTTATCTTTTGTGTTTCTTAGTTCCAAGTTTTAGATAGTGTTAATTATGTTGATTCATGTAGATGGGTTGGCAAATAGAAATGAACTACTTTGACATCATCAGAGCTAGACTGGAAGCCACGTTGTAACAAAGTCTTAAGGTTCTATTCATATACGTTTTAGTAGAACCTCAAATTCAAGCTCATGGACCTGATGTGCAGCTAACGCCAAACACTGAGTCACAAGTACTTGGAGACAGAGAAAGGTTTATTTCATATGGCCAAAGAATAAAGGCAGCAAAGCAAGATCTCTTAGATCAGTCTTAACAAAGGGATGAAGCAAGAGTTTTTATGTTGCTAGAAAGTGGGGGAGGGAGAGAATTTAGGGAACACAAAAGGAAAAACATCTGTGTTTCTTCAGTATCAGATAACACCTTGAGCAAGCAGACTTTTGGGTGTCTGCAGCTGGTTGCAACATTTAAAAGGCATTCATTTCTTCTGCAAAAATTATGGTGTCCCTAAAGTTCTTTCTGCTTGGAAAAGAAACAGTACACCAGCAGTGTGTTATTATATTGTGGGAAAAAAGGGATATTGGGCAAAAAGTGAGCAGTTAACATGTGCAAGCAAGCAAGGGCCTAAATGGATTTTTCATTGTTTCAGTCACTAAAAATGCTGGGGTACTGAAATTTTTCATGCGATCCAGTTACAAATGCTCAGATAAAGAGAGAAGGGAGTCTTATTTTAAAAGCAATAAAACAAACTAGTTAGGACTGGAAAGTATGTGCCTTCTCTCAAAGTGAGGCAGTTAGAAGCTAAAGCCTGGGAACAAAACAAAAGGGCTCTGAATTAAAGAGGAGCATTTAACAGGATTGGGTGACCAAGGCTCTGGATTATGCGCATAGTTCTTGTCCTTGAGCTTTTAATGGGTTCCTGAAAGGAACTAGTCATGGGACAAATAATACTACCAGGGATGAAAACAACTGTGAAAGGCATGTCATTTTCTGCTTTGGGAATCAGGAAATAAGACTAACGTGCCTCTTTTTTCTTGTTTCTTCCCACAGACAATACCTTGTAAGACATGGCTCCCTCAAACCATTCTTCAGGGACTGAGTTTATTCTTGAAGGCCTGACAAAACTCCCAGAGCTTCAATTGCCATTTTTCCTTCTGTTCCTTGGAATATATGTGATCACAGTGGTGGGGAACCTGGGCATGATCATCTTAATTGCTATCAGTTCTCAACTTCACTCTCCAATGTATTATTTTCTTAGTCATTTGTCCTTCATTGATCTCTGCTATTCCTCCGTCATTACCCCTAAGATGCTGGTGAATTTTGTGTCAGAGAAGAACATCATCTCATTTCTGGAGTGCATGACTCAGCTTTCTTTCTTTCTTATTTTTGTAATTGCAGAAGGCTATCTTCTGACAGTCATGGCATATGACCGTTATGCTGCTATCTGTAGCCCATTGCTTTACAATATTGTCATGTCCCAAAGGGTCTGTACCATAATGATGGCTGTGGTATATTCACTGGGTTTGTTTGGGGCCACGGTCCATACTACCCTTATGTCATTGTTGTCCTTTTGTAGGTCTCATATTATCAATCATTATTTTTGTGATATTCTCCCCTTATTGATTCTGTCTTGCTCCAGCACCCACATCAATGAGATCCTCCTGTTTATTATTGGAGGAGTTAATACCTTAGCACCTACACTGGCCATCATCATCTCTTATGCTTTTATCCTCTCTAGTATCCTTCGTATTCGCTCCACTGAGGGACGATCCAAAGCCTTTGGCACTTGTAGCTCCCATTTTATGGCTGTGGGCATCTTTTTTGGGTCTATAACGTTCATGTATTTCAAGCCCCCTTCTAGCAACACTATGGAGCAGGAGAAGGTGTCCTCTGTTTTCTATACCACAGTGATCCCTATGTTGAATCCCCTGATCTACAGCCTGAGAAACAAGGATGTGAAGAGTGAACTGAGGAAGATGTTTGGGAGAAGGTAGTCACTCTGACAAAATGGGTTCTCATGGGAAGCTTGATAAAAATGAACCACATACAAAGTTATCATAAGTGCTCTGTAATTTTCTTTCTCTCTTCCAGAGAGAAAATTCATCATTATTTATAAAATATATGTTTTATATTTTAGAATGATTGAAATATCTTTGGAGATTATTAAAATATGATTTTCTGATAGTCAATATAATCTTTAGAAATGTAATAGAGAAACAGGAATTGATTGAAGAGGGAGGGCAAATAAACATAAAAAAAGAATATATTGAACATATTAATTCTGAAAGTGTTTGAGAGCTAGACAGTGAGTTAAGGGTTGCATTTGAGAAGGATGATGTTAATTGGAAAGTCAAAATTCCTGGAAGGCAGGAAAAGAGACGTCTTTAACTTTTTGAGAAGAAAGGTTGTGTTTCAGTTCAAAAGCCTTTATGTTAAGATATTGAGGATATTTAGATGAAGCTCTGAGGGGAATATTTGATGACGAAGAACAATTCATATGTGGATTATGGAGTCAGAGAGAGAGAGAGAGAGAGAGAGAGAGAGACAGACAGACAGAGAGAGAGAGAGAGACAGGCAGAGAGAGGAGACAGAACTATGTGTTTAGGCTGTGAGTTAGGGCAAAAGATGGCAAATAAATAGGCTAATCTTATCCACAATTTATACACATTCAGAAGAGATCACTAATAACTGTTCTGAAGTTCCACATTGCCTCCCTTAGGCTATGACTATCCAGCACAAAGTCTAGTAAAGTTTGACTCCCATGAAGGAAGTTGAACTCATTTTTAATTTTGTATTTGAATAACAATTTTAATGATGTCAGTGATGCCTTTCTTCTGGAATTCTGTGGTTTTTCTTATCCCCTGTATGAATATTCATTTTTTAACATCCTGTGATTTTTTTTCATATCTACTATTTCCTCTTGGTGTGGGAATCCAACCCTCTCTGAGACCAAAAACACAATCTCACTGGTGATTCCCCATGCTGGAACATCATTCCAGACCTCCAGATCACTTTGCACCTAAGTATAGAACTCTCTATTAGACATATGTGCATAAGGTAGCTAGGAAGAAAGTACCCCCTAAATTTACAAAAATAAAATTTTAAAAATATATAATTGTTTAATCACTTTCACCCTCATGGTGTGTAGCTGGTAGTCAATGTTTTAAAATAAGATTTTCTTGACTTTAAATGTTGTGAAGGCCTTAGTTGAATGCATTGTGTAATCTTTGTTTAAGGTCATAAACTGCAGAAGATATGCCCATGATTATACATCTTGAGGTATACATGCATATGTTCTGGCATTGTTATAATTTATTTCATTATCATAACCAAGGACTTGATTGTCAGGATCAAAAAATACAATTTGCTTTCCATTTTTCCTACCTGTTTCATTTTAATTAACCAAATTATTGCCAATAATTTCTCCTTAAACCCTCATTTCTCAGCACAATTTTGGTGACTAACATTTCTTTAAGACAAACTGTAACCAATGCCACAGATGGAATATTATCCATATACAATTCTTTTTGTTGAGCACTTTTTATGTTCTAATTACTTTGTATATATTTGTGCATAATCTTTATAATTATCTATAATGTGATACCATTATCCTAAATTACTTTGTCCTCAGAGAGTTCAAATCGATTTTTCAAGACTGTGGTAGCAGTAAAAAATATTTTTCTCAGAATGTCCTACTCTCTTTGCTGATAAGCTAATAATTTATAGTATATTTGTCACTTGTGCACCTCCCTAGGTGCCTGGATACAGAACTTAAATTCAAATCTAGGTCAGCTTGTTTCCAATTCTTGTCTTTCTATGTACCACCTTGCTTTCTTTGTAGCCTACAAATTGACTAACTTTGCTGTGGGAAGAGAGAACCCTGGAGTTTAATTAAAAAGGATCTGTTTATGGGATATTGAGTTGAGTCTCTTCTGAGCAATTTAAATCCAAGGCAATTTTCTTCATAGTTTCTTTCACTTTGTAAACTATAGACAAAACTCTTCACTTGAGCACACCCCTAGGATTCTCAATGAAGCTGTAGAAGTCAACTAAATGGCTTTTACCTAAAACTTAAGACATAATATAACTTCAAAGAAGAAAGAGATTTAATCTATGATAGAGCAATACATGATTATTTTCCACTTAATTTTTTAACTTTTTAAAAATTACCAAATTTCAGATAAAAAGTTTTCCAGTGTTCCTTCTGCCTTTTTTAGTCTTTCTGACTGTATATCTTCCTATTTTCTTTCATATTCCACTTCTAGATGGGGAGCTATTCTATGAAGTAAAACCAAAGTATCAAAAGTCTTCAATCAATTCTATCTCCATAGAAATAATAGTATTATATCTCCTCCTATATATATAAAGTAAATTTTAAAAATAGGTATTGATTGACAGTGCTGTGGGCAATATTGTCTGATTAAGTCAAAAATCATTAATGAGAAAAAAATAGATTTTTTTGGTCACGTGCTCCCTGGTGACAGTAAAAAAAAATATTTTCATTAAAATAGTCTGCCTCCTTGGCTGATAAGCTGGTAATTTATAGCACATTTGTCACTTGTACATCTCACTAGATGCCTGGATACTAGTCTTATCTCAGAGCTACAGATGCTGAAGTCTTTAAATCTGCCATCAGTGGATTATATGTAGATATATGTCAGTAATGATAAGGATTGAGAATTTAATTTAATGAGAGTTGAGATAAGATCTCCAAGTGCAGTGAAACATGGAAGCAATAATTTAGTGGCATAAGTGCTGGAACAGAAGAACTTCAGCAGGGGAAAAACAAAATAATGGTTAGTAGAATTGACTCTAGAACAATTGGTGCAAAATATACATTTTATCACCAACATACTTGACAAGATACAGCTACATTATATAGCAATGGTATACTGATAACCCTGAAGCCAGTGACAGCCTGAAAAAGGGAAAACAAGGAAGAAGTAAAGCTGAGTCACACACTCCTCTGATAAAAGGTCTTCAGTATTTGGAGACTGGGATGAAGGAATGGCAGAGAATAATGAAGGACAAGTTGTTGATGAAATAGCACGTAGGTTCATAAACATGAGAATGAAGTACAATTAAAAGTATTGTGCTCAGTCTCCTCAATACAATGGCAGCATAGATTGCCAAGACATGTATAAACAGAAGGAACTGGTTAGGCTGAATGCTTATTGAGAGAGAGTAGTGAGTTGTTTGGTTTGGTTTTGTTGCATCTGGTTTGGCAGTTTCCTTAGCACTTATGTACAAGGACTTATATACAAGCACTTATGTACACTTATGTACAGTTTCCTTAGCACTTATGTAGCACTTATGTACAACTGTGACTCTGTCTGGGAATAATAGAATAATAGCAATAATAATGGAATAATAAGTTGAAATTCTACTACTACTATATCAAGAAATAGTACATACAATTTCTTAGAGAGGTCTAAGAAATGTGTAAACTACCAGAAATGAACTTTATTGGTCTGGCTTACTTGTTAGGTTGTATACTTCAAGAAATAGGAAGAGAAGAGAAATATAAAGTTATGTGTCAGTTTGCTTTCCCACAAAAATATGAAAAGCAAGATGGGGGAGAACACCATTGCGTTTGCTGATCTTGAGGGAAAATAACTGATCTCTTGTAAAGCATAACATTATGAATAACCTCTCACCAATGAGCAATTCCTCCTCTCTTGAAGGGTGGCCAGAGATAAAAGCAGACAGATGTGAAAAATTGTGAGAGGCTGGGTGCAGTGACTCAAGCCCGTACTCCCAGCACTTTGGGAGGCTGAGGCAAGAGTATTGCCTGAGCCCAGGGGTTCGAGATCAGCCTGGGCAACTTCGTAAGACCTCGGCTCTGCAATATATTAAATAAAAAAAATTAGCTGGGCTTGATAGTGTGTGCCTGTAGTTCTAGCTACTTGGAAGGCTGACACGGAAGGCTTGCCTGAAGAGCAACTCAAAGCTGTGAGCATGCCCCTACACTCCAGCCTGGGCGACAGAGTGAGACTCTGACTCAAAAAAAAAAAAAAAATTGTGGAGAGAAGGACTGAAGAGTGCTCCCACTTCCACCCACAACTACACATTCTCATGTTTTTAGTTTCTTCTATTGGAATTAAAAGTATAGCCTATAGTTAACCAAAAGATTAGCTTTCCCTCATAGTGACAGAAAAAGGCAGGATATCCTGTCCCATTCTATATGAAACCATTCCATTAGATATCTACTATTTCCTCTTGTATGCTCTTGTGGTCGGTGAAATAGATATTTCATCTTGATGCCCCTAGAAATTTATAAAACAAAAAAAGAAGGAACATTAATTTAACTTAAAGGTCTCATTTTTCACAAGTCAAAAACTTTACTCCATATTCTTTTTTTCATTTAAATTATGCCCAAATACATCGTGCAACATTATGTACAATAAATTACTCAATGAACCCCATCAAAAAATGGAGGACCTTAAAATATGAATATGCATACATCTTTAAGTTTTTTAAAATTTTTTTTATTTTTAGTTTTTGAGTTGGAGCCTCACTCTGTCACCCAGACTGGAGTGCAGTGGCCGCTCCCAGCCACTGCAGCCTCATCCTGCTGGGCTCCGGCAATCCTTCCACCTCAGTCTTCCAAGTAGCTGGAACTACAGGCGCGCACTACCACGCCTGGATCATTTTTGATGTATTGTAGAGATGAGGTCTCGCCAAATTGCCCAGGTGGGTCTTGAACCTGCGGGCTCAGGCAAGCCACTCACCTCGACCTCCCAAAGTGCTGGGATTACAAACTGAGCCACTGAGCCCGACTGAGTTTAAAAAGATAAAAGTATAAAACTGAAAGCATTATCATCTTGTACAAACTAGACTACAGAAGAAAATTGAGACCATACTTTTTCCTTCCCTTGTTTTTAATTTGGCCTAACTTCATTCATAGGAGGGAACTATTCAAATACCTGGTGATACCTGAGCTCCCACTTTAGAAGCAGCCTAAATAATATTTTATATTTTGTTCCAACTGAAG